GTTGATCCGGTTCTGTCCTAGTTTTTTTTATAACGGTTCTTCAGTTAGTATATACGTATGTGGCTTCGTCTATCATAAGAGAACCTTCTTCAAAATGAACAAATCTCCATTAACCACCTATGTCTAAGTAAGTCATGATAACTTGTAAAATGTATATCGTATTAAAAAATCATTTTCATTTTTGTTGTTGTCTAAAAATAGGTTGATTTAAATATTATCCGAAAAAGTGAATGTACAAAAACAATCAATATTCTTTACATTGTTCTCGGTGTCATTGCAGCTATTGTACTTGGTGGATTAATACTTTTATTAATTTATAAACTAGTCATTACAATTGATGATCGTCGTGAATTGGCCAATTTTAAACAACAAGGTGAAAATATGCGTTGGGAAATGGCTGAAAATCCTATTTTCGAATCACCAACAACCAATGTTTTAAATCCAACTTTTGAAGAAAACGGATATTGATCAAACATTGATAAGAAAGAGAGAGAGAGGATATCAACAAATATGAAATAATTCTTTCATTTGATGATAAATAAAATTTGTAATCTCCCCTGTTTTTTCCTCTCTCTTCATTTTTGCATATTTTATACGCATATATCTAAGCGGTCCTAATATATGATGTATATCTCTAAGCGCTTGTTATATATACCTTTTATACCGAAATAATATAACACAAATATACAATTGTCTTTGTGCCTTATGGTTAATATTATTATTTGAAACATAAACTTCATGACAGGAAGACTTAATTACACAGCTGTGTTAATAATGTCTATTGTCAACTAATCACCACTACGATGTTTTTTTTCCTGCTTTATATCATCGTTACAGCTTTTTATTCTCATGAATGAATTGTGCATGCATTTTTGTTTATTATTAGTTGTTTTATTTTGTTTTTCTCTCTTTCTCTTCTTTTTTTTATAAGTAACTAATATTACTACTTTATGTTGTAACTATATACAATTGTGTTACTAAACAATGATTTATAACACTGAATGTAATGATAATGAATATGGAATGATAAAAAAATGGGGAGGGGGTCTAGGTTGAGTATTTTTTTTTGCCCAAAAAAAAACGAAAACAATCTAACCGTACATCGTTTATTTAGTTCAATTTTTTCGGGAATTTTTTTATACGGTGTTATTTTATGTTTATGCTGTTATGTAAACAATACACAAATAATGTGTATTTATTTTATTGTATTTGCTAGATAAATTGCTTCAGACTTATTAATTAAAATATTATAAGTTGATTAATTTTTCTAGTATTTTATCTTAATTTATATGATTGTATGTATGTGTATGAGAATGATAATATAAATTTACCAGTATAGGGTTGTGGAGATTATTAGGTTATTGATTGAGATCATGAACCGATTGATGTTAGACCACTTTTGGAAACCTGGAAGCACTGGGCTGCCGTTTCGTCTTAGTATGGGACTCCTCAGCAGTGCCCAGCCACAATCCCGCTCGCGGGATTCGAACCTAGGGCCCATGGTCGCGCAATCTCATGGATTGGTTGAGGTTGGACATCAACATCGATGGATGCCAGCTCTAGTAGGTTAAGCGTTTCCACGCGAGACTGAAGGCTCCGGGTCCGAATCCCGCTAGTGGGATCGTGGACGCGCGTTGCTGAGGAGTCCCGCAGTAGGACGAAACGGCCGTTCAGTGCTTCCAGGTTTTCAATGGTGGTCTAACATCAATCGGCTAATTTCAATCAATATAAATTTAAACGGAGCAAGAGTAATAAACCAGAGAATAAAATCAATTCATCAGTCTATTTCACGGTTTCTCATCAGCTATAGAAAACTTAAAACTAATAGCATCTATGAATTCACATATACCTGAGATAGCAAGGGCCTCCACACATAAATAAGAAAGTAGTTTCCATAGATATAGAGAGTTCACACAAAGTTTTCTGAACACATTCCTAGAAATCTACGATTGGAAGGGAGTAAAGTTTTTATTAGTGCGATTGCTAGCCACGTTTTGGATAGTGGACTTGAGGTAGATGTAAGTAAAACATTTAAAATAATTAACAGACAAAAAAAACATTGGTTTTACTCCGTTTGACAGAGGCAATCGCTATCAGGCGTTCACGATGTGATCTATTTATACAGAAAGAAAGCGTGGTTGGCCTTTCCCTGACACGGTGATTAGGGGTTTATCCAATAGTCTTTATTAATTCTAATTTTTGATATTTTTGTCCCCAACTTTTTATTTCATTTTCTTATAATCATATTGATGTTTATATATTTGTATATTTTGTCATGTTGAAAGACTACCCAACCTCTAATTAATTTCATTACCGTTACATAATATCTTTTATCTTCATGGTGATTGCTAGTACCTATAACATCTATTCTACTATACTTACTTACTTATGCCTGCTACTCCTCGTGGAAGAGCATAGGCCGCCCACCAGCACTCTCCATCCAATCCTGTCCTGGGCAACCCTTTCCATATCTGATTCTATCTCCCAACGTAATGTGTTCTTTGGCCTTCCTCTTTTCCGCTTCCCTTCAGAATTCCAGGTTGGGGTTTGCCTCGTGATGCAGTTTAATGATTTCCGTAATGTATGTCCTATCCACTTCCAACATCTTTTCCTAATTTCCTCTTCAGCTGGAAGCTGGTTTGTTCTCTCCCACACTAGGTTGTCGCTGATGGTATACGGTCAATGGATGTTGATTATCTTGCGTAAACAACTATTTATAAATACTTGCACCTTTTTGATGATGGTTGTAGTAGTTCTCCAAGTTTCAGCTCCCTACAGTAGGACTGTCTTGACGTTCACATTGAAGATTCTGACTTTGATATTTTTTGACAGTTCTTTGGAGTTCCATATGTTCTCCAGTTGTGGGAATACTGACCCTACTTTGCCATTTTTGAGGATGGTAATTGTAATAATAACAATAGTCCACAATATGGTTCATCGTTAATGTTTTAATTTAATCGATGAGTGACAAGTTTGTTTTTTTTATATCAATCTCTGATTAACCTAACCTCCAAATACTAGTCAGTTTTTTCTTCTGCCTGAATTCTAATCGTATAGTAAAAATCCAATGGGAGTGTTATAATATTTTCTCTCATCCATTCAACAGTTAATCTCAAAATAAACTCATAACTAGAATCTATTCTATTATAGTTGGAATATATTCTCATTATGATGAAACCCTAGCCATTTTCTATTAAGCATACCATGGGACAGTATAGTAAAATGATTGTCTGTCTCCTTAACTCCGCCTGGAGCCCCTCTAGGGCTACTGCCAGTTATAACCTCGAATAAAGGAGAAGGGTTGGGCATAGGGTTAGCGATCCCATCTCGTAGGAAACTAACTCGCTAACCAGAAAAAACTCTATCTCTTTCTAAAACTTTGTCACAAATTATGGTAATTTCTTTCAAATTTCACTAATGCTATTAATTCTTGTAATTATATGAACAATGCATTCTTATCATGTATAATGGTTAGTAATGACTTTTGTGATACATTATTGATTTTCTCAAATAATTTTTACATTCCAATCTAAGTAGATCATGTATTTTGTTTTATAAGCAATGAAGAAAATAAAGAAGATATATTTGGAGTTCTATCTGATTGATGCGTTTTATTTCACCTTAACTATTTCATTGAATAAGTTCATATCAGAATAGCATTGAGTAAATTATCTAGTTTTGTGTTGATATTTTGACCAAATATTCTGTTTAATTTAGTGATTATTGTTAATGTGTTATTTTTATGTGAAACCACATACTCTAACGTTAATTCAAGCATTTATAAAGCGGAATAAGTAGCTATTTTGCTTAAGATACACCTGTTACTGTATGTGATGCAATCAAACAATCTAAACTGTAACTTGTTAGCGAGAGAAGGATTACACACCCATGAATCTATCATAGATCGAAATCAGGACTTCTGAACCTCTAAATAATCGCTTAACTTCCAAAACATTAGGTTGGGATCTAATGGAATACATTTATGACTTCAATGAAATCTCCACAACCATCCTATGATAATTCTTGAATTTTATGTTGTAAATGATTCTATTCTAGTCTGTATTTGTAGCCAGTGTAACCATATTTTTGTTACCTGGTTCCCTGAGTAAACAATCAGACCATTGTGTACATTCACTTGATTCAGCCCATCCAATTTATAAGTTTAATTGACTAACTTCATAATTTTCAGTGAACTTTTTTCAGTTTGCAATAGGGATCTAGAAAAAATTTCGTAAATAAGAACCTATTATGGCACAAAATTATACTACATATATTCCGATTATTGAGTTTCGAATTCGCAAACCGACTGGTGCTAGACCACCGTTGGGAACCTGGAAGCACTTGACGGCAGTTTCGTCCTACCGTGGGACTCCTCAGCAGTGCGCGTCCACAATCCCGCTCGCGGGATTCGGATCCAGGGCCTTGAGTCTCGCGCGTGGACACCTAACCTCTAGACCACTGAGCCGGCATCCAGTGGTGTTAATGTCTAGCCTCAACCAATCCGTGAAATTGCATGACCATCTCCCATTGTACTGAGGTAGATACCTGTCTCTATTCGACACGGATTAGCTCCATTGGGTTCGAATCCTGCAAGCGGGATCGCGGGTGCGCACCACTGAGGAGTCCCACAATAGGGCGAAACGACCGTTCAGTGCTTCCAGGTTTTCAATAGTGGTCCAACATTAATCGGTTCATGATCTCAATCAAAAACTTAATAATCTCCACAACCCTATACTGATATTGAGAGCTTCAACGCTTTTATGTATCTACGAATTGGAACAATAATTCTTGAGATTATCGAATGCGAGATACTGAACGATTCTTATAAAGATGTATAGCAAAGCATTATTATTTGATGTTTATTCAATTCATAGTAAGTAAAGGAAACATGTTTCGTTACATCTGTTAAAGATCGCCACTTTTATTTATAATCTTGTGGTTCTTAGACCTAGTTTTTCTTCCTATAAATTTTTTTATCGCTTTAGTTTATTATTTGACTGATGCTAATAACATTTAAAGTGGATATAATATCTTTTGTATTATTTATAGATTTTTAAACATTATAGTCTCATCAATCAAGCATTATCACAATGTCGTTATTACCAATACACACAGTATATTGGCAAAAACCAGACACGGTATTTCTCAACGGAATCATCTAAAAATGTCTTGTCAGATACAGTGCTAAATAAATATTGTACTGATGAAGAAATAAAATGTTCAGAGAAAAGTTCTGTATATCGTTTTGTCCCATCTAAACCTATTTGGAAACGATTCGACGTTGGGGTGCAGCATGAATTAGAAGAGGTGAATAGTGTAAGTTGTAATGCTTGATGCAGGTTGTTGCTATATAATATAATACTGGTAATTGTTTTACTAATGCATTTATGCTTCAGAATACTATTGGATGACGGATGATATGCACATGTAACGTAAAGTTACTCTGAAGAAGCGACATTACGCCACAGTTGAACTAAAGTTTCTGTCAAATTGCTTTTAGATCGTTTTCTCATATTTGCAGACTCGTAAAATATGCATCTGCTTATAGTCTCCTGGTATTTATATTTCTTAACCATCAGTCAATAAGTATTTTGTAGTTGAGTTATGTACCGTTAGTCCAACTAAGATTCAACTTAAATAGATGCCTTTGACTGTTGGATATATCACTTTTGATTGGTTTAAGGTATCTAGGCAAATGAGTCCAAAAAAACGATGTAGCAATAACCATTTGAGGTCACTCGTTTTGGAGCAACAATCTAGGAACAAGAACAGTAATAACCAAGTAAGGGATTCATTTAGTGTTTGTATAAAGCAACTTGAGACAAATGTTTCCAACCAACCATTTTATATACACATCGACGTTTCAAAAATATTTTCGATTTGTACTTTTATTTCTACTTTCAATCAAGAAATTAATACCGAATATCAACTATTCATACTATAAACTTACGTATGCATACACATGTTCGCTTATTCATTTATTTTCACATTGTGAACCTTTCACATGTTATCTGAATTCAACATCTGAATGTGATTAGATAAACATTAAGTATATATTTGATTGATAAACATTATACATTCCTTGACAATTTCGATTATCACCCTGAAGAAGTCTAGATAAGTTTGATGGACGAAACCTTGGAATTATTTGAATTTCAATAGCTGAGATTATTTCATATATATATATATATAAAGTTGCCATGCCGCATGTCGATTTCAGTTGTATTTCACTTTCCGAAAAGTAGATAAACACCGTTATATGATAATTATACTTTACCAATAAATTAGAATTCGTTGATTTGCAATCGGTTAACTGGATAGTCAAATACTTTTTGAAATTTATTCTATTAGATATCTGGAACAAAGGATTGTGTATCACCTGATAAACAGGATATATTTTATATTGATCACAGCGCTCTTCCAAAACGAACCCAATTGGATATGAAAGTAGTTAAACTACTTGAACAGATATCGCTAATAAATTTCAAAGAAGTGAGTTTTTTGGTATGGTTTCATGTAACTGAGTTTATATCATCTGAAAGTATCAGTCTTTTGGACAGTTCTTGAAGCACTGTATTCTCCTAATATGCCAACTGTAATTACTTGAAATCAAATTGCTTTTCGTCACATGCTAACTTCAACTGGAGAAGTGTGTCATAACGTTGGATTCACTAAATCAAGTGAACTCTGACTATTTGATCGGGGAACATAAATCAACAATGATAACGTATATAAACACAAATGTAGAGTGGGAGTAAGTGGAGTCGTTTACAATATATGTTTATTATATATGTGATTTATGGGGTGCCTATCTGCAATCAGTAATTAACCACTTTTAAGAACTATTGATGGACTAACCCTCTCTCTATATATATTCTTATTGTATAACTATCCAGTAACTAGATTGTGTATATCTATATTCCTCTTATTATAGGTTTCATTTTAACCTATTGGCTATTACTATACGATTTACTGTTCTTAAGTTGTGTTCAGTCTATTGATTACGGTCTCTTACGCCCACAGCCACAATTTGGCCTGATCTTGTATAAATGTTATTTCCTATTTTATTGGTGTGATGCGGCTGGTATATAAACTAAGTATGTTTGAAATTAATTATTCGTATAGTGGAAGCTATTATTGGCGTTATGGACTCAAATGGACATGATATGAGAACAAAGAACCAATAAGATTGCTAGGCTGCCTATACCGCTCGAACGTCATTGGCTTAGCACAGTACTAAGATTGTATGAGTCGTACTCCGATTGGCGAATAAGTCACATGATTATTAGCCGGGTTTAAGACACAACGGGATACATCGCAATATATTGGATAATTGTTGCAAACTTGTTTGAAACTTTTTATAAGGATAGTGTGCATATCACAACCCTACATAGACTCAAGTCTATGAACTTAAAGTCTTGAGACAAATAACATATCATCATTTGGTCTATTGCTTGGTAATTCTGAGTCATATTTATTCGACTTCTTTCAAGTTATAATGTCGAGATTATCTCTAATTTATATAATCCGTTTCATGTAAAAACATAGAAATAAAGTAGATTTCGCTTGCTTACATCTCTTACCTCTTTAATTGACATATGGTTCCCATTTAAACATTAGAAACACAAAGTTCAGCGAAGGAATCTCTTTAGAATGGATTTATTATCAAGCTGTACAGTCGTATATATATATATATATATATATATATATATATATATATATATATATATATATATATATATATATATATATATATATATATATATATATATATTGCAAAGAGATTTCGTCGCTGAACTTTGTGTTTTTAACCTTTACAGACACCATATTGGATTTGTCGTTCATATAACTTCGATTGGACCCATCATAATTTTTTTGGCTATTTCAATTTAACAACACCTGAAAGAGTTTTGTTCTTTTATGAAATCTGTTTCCTCTTTTGTTCATTAAGGAAAATTTGAGAACTCTTGAGGAAGCTATACGCTATGCTGATTCATTGCTAACGAAAGAAGCTTTTCATGGAACAACTAATAATCAATGTTGGAGTCTAGATAATACAGAACCGATGATTAGTTTATGTGATGAAATTAATGTTGGTTCCAATTGTTTTTTAGATGATGACGATGGTGATAATCACATTGCATATAATTGTAATCTAGCTACTGATATTATGGAACAAGTACCTGATAAATGGGAAGGTTATATTGTTGCTCCTTTGGGTAATATTCCAGTAGAGCAAAATGAATCTAATCGAGTTCAAGGAGTGACGGTGTAGTTACTCGGTCAACAAAGTGAATATATTCATAATTTTGATGAAAATAGCAGAAAAGAAACAAATATACACGTATTAACACAGTGTATACCGTAATAATAAAATAAAAATGAGAGTAACAATGTGGTTTCTTTTTCATGATCCTATGTTAATCGTAAAGATTAACGGGTCTATCGTAGGCATTATCGAAGCACATGATACTGACTTTAATCTGATTCTGAATACTGACAACGGATGAATACGAATTTTTAAAACTACCTTTATTCCCACTAAACAATTTAATGGCTATCTGCACTTTGTAGCTTAATAGACAACGCCTTGGTGCCTAAAGCGACCGGTTTCGCATTTTTGTCTGAATGTTCGGCTAAGGAGCCCTAGATAGGATGAAACGCACTTGGAACGATCCAAATATCTTATCAATAACACTTAAAAATTCCTTTAAAAAACAAGTAATGCCTTCTTGCGTCTATGTCTATGGCAACTACTTTTCTCGCTCCGAAAAACAATCAGTCGATTCAAATAATTATTATTACTATTATTGTCATTATTATTATTATTTTCCACATTATTCACCCTCTTTTATACTTATACAGCGGCTCGTCTTTGGTGGAAATTCGACTGTATCTAAACGTTCTCGAGTCACTGTCCGGTTGAAAATTGTATGTTACCACCGAATACGAGGACTGAAGCAGTTTTTCTGAAACCACGTGCACCATTCAAACTGGCTGCCTTCAACGTTCGCACATTTATGCAGGTCGGACAACAGATAGGGCTGGCTATGTCTTTGGAAAGTCTTAATATTGATGTTTGTTGTCTATCCGAGACCCGTATTCAAGACTCTGGCGAAGTACTACAAATTCGATCTCCATCTGTCGCTTCGAAAAGCTTGTTTTACGTGCGCTTATCCGGGGACCCTGTGGCATCTTCGTCTGGTCTTGCTGGCGTTGGTGTCGCACTAAGCGCTAGAGCTGAGGCAGCACTAGTCGATTGGATCCCCATTAACAGTCGGTTATGTGCTGTTAGATTAGAAAGTTCCATCAAAGTGAGAAGAAATCGGCGTGAGAAACGATGTCTTTTCGTCATCTCCGCCTATGCCCCGACAGATTGCAGCCCGGATGCAATCAAGGATGAGTTTTACCACCAGTTATCTGTTCTTCTCCAGAAAGTGCGTTCGACAGATATTGTAGTACTAGCCGGAGACTTGAATGCTCAGGTCGGGCGTCTAGGCACAGAAGAGAGTCGTTTAGGTGGCCGATGGGGACTCGTTGGTCGCAGGTCAGATAACGGGGACCGTCTACTGCAACTTTGCACAGACCACAACCTGTTTCTGGCTAGCACTAACTTTCGGCACAGTCATCGCCGATGTGCCACCTGGCGTCCTCCCTCTGCATCTCAAGCCTGGACTCAGATTGATCACATCGCGATCAGCTACCGCTGGCGTGGTTGTGTAAAGACTGCCGCTCCTTTTGGAGTACCTATCTGGACTCTGACCATGCCTTGGTCTGCGCCAATCTTGCCTTACTTTTCAGTGGACAACGAAGTGACCGCCATCAACGGATTGATGTTAGCAAGCTGGTTGCAACTTCTGTTGCAAGTAAGTATCGAACCGAGCTAGCCTCTAGGCTAGCTACCACTCCACCGAAAAGTATAGATGAGCATTGGTTGCAATTGCATGACGCCATGAAAATGGCGGGAACAGTCAGTTGTGGGTTTGCGAAACGTCCCGCTTTTAAGCACTGGGTTTCTTCTGGTTCCTTACAACTCATTGAAGCCCGTCGGTCTACTCCGGGTGACCGTGAGTTTGACCATAAACGAAGGATGTTACGTAAGGAAATTGGGCAAAGCTTGCGTAAGGACCGAGAAGCCTGGTGGTCGATGCGTGCTAATGAGCTGGAAGCAGCAGCTGCATCTGGTAACTACCGGAAGCTCTTCCAGCTCATCCGAGCCACTGGCAGCAAGAAGTCTGGTGTGAGTGAAACAATCTGCGAGGATGATGGGATGCCAATCACTAACATCCATCGACGTCTTGGACGATGGGCAGAATTTTTCGAAGGGCAGTTCAACTGGCCTGCTGCTCCGGCAACATCGGTCAGACTGTCCTGCCCTCCATGGCCGGTGACGACTGATCCACCAAACGAGGAGGAAGTCCGCAAGGAACTCCAACTCTTGAAGCGTTACAAATCACCTGGCCCAGATGACTTACCTCCGGCTCTTTTTAAAGATGGTGGTGACTTTTTGACTAAGGAATTGACGACGTTGTTTACAAAGGTTTGGGAACTAGAGAGTGTACCAACGTCATGGAATGAGTCGATAGTTGTCCCTATCTTTAAAAAGGGTTCACGTCGTTCCTGTAACAACTATCGGGGGATAAGTCTACTTCCGATTGCGTCCAAGCTATTGGCTTCCGTCATACTTCGTAGGTTGTTCAAAACCCGAGAAAGATTGACTCGCGAGGAGCAGGCTGGGTTTCGTTCTGGTCGAGGATGTATTGATCATATCTTCACCCTCCGCCATACTTATCAAAGGCCAACAATCGTAGTGTTTCTTGACATCAGGGCTGCCTTCGATTCGTTGGACAGGACTGTTCTCTGGGATTGTCTATTGAAGAAGGGTGTGCCTGAGAAGTTTATTAACATCCTAAAAGCCCTATATAAAAACACCTCAGGCAGAGTGAGGGCATACAACCACCTCTCTCCATTGTTCCATTCGAGCAGTGGGGTTAGGCAGGGTTGCCCAATCTCACCATTCCTCTTCAACTTTGCCATCGATGACATTCTGGAAACAGCTCTGATGAATGTAAGTAATGGTGGTGTGGATCTGTTGCCTGGAGAAAGACTTCTCGACCTTGAGTATGCGGACGATATTGTCTTACTGTGCGATAATGCCCAAGGCATGCAATCCGCACTTAATCAGTTGGCAATCAGTGTCCGTAGGTATGGTATGTGCTTTGCACCTTCGAAGTGCAAAGTACTTCTACAAGACTGGCAGGATTCTAATCCTGTACTCACCCTGGATGGTGAGCAGATAGACGTAGTTGAGAAGTTCGTGTATCTGGGTAGCTGCATAAGTGCTGGTGGGGGTGTGAGTGATGAGATCAATGCACGAATAGTGAAAGCCAGAGCGGCTTATGCCAATCTGGGCCACCTTTGGCGCCTTCGTGATGTTAGTCTGGCTGTAAAAGGTCGGATCTACAACGCGTCGGTGAGAGCAGTTTTGCTCTATGCTTGTGAAACCTGGCCTCTCCGAGTTGAGGACGTTAGACGACTCTCTGTGTTCGATCATCGCTGTCTCCGAAGGATTGCTGACATTCAGTGGCAACACCATGTCAGTAATGCAGAGGTTCGGCATCGTGTGTTCGGGCACAGAGATGATAATCAATTGGTGTCACCATCTTGAAACACCGACTTCGGTGGCTTGGACATGTTCTCCGAATGTCGTCCCAGAGAATTCCACGTCGTGCATTATTTGCCGACTCTGGGACTGGTTGGAAGAAGCGGAGAGGTGGTCAGTGCATGACATGGTGTCGTGGCATGAAAGAAAGCTGCAAAGGACTGGCTTGTGTTGGTCCTTCACGACTCCCTGGTTGGGGTCCGAGAGATGGTGCTACACAGTGGCTAGAGACGTTATCAGATATGGCTCAGAATAGAAGCCAGTGGCGATCCTGCTGTAACCTTCTTTTACTTTCTTTCTAAAAAGTGGTTGTGTCTCCTTACCTGAAAGATTTCTTCTGATTGTACCTTTCGTTCCCTCGTTACTACCACACTACCTTACACCAATCTCTTCGTTATTGTTCTCTTTTTTTTTGCGCTCCTTAGTTTTTTTTCTTTCTTTTATTCTCTCGAATTTTCATTGTTTTGTGTGGCGCATATATATTGGCGCTCTCTTGTACCAATATTCATGTGTCCAAATAAATAAATAATAAATCTTGCGTCTTAATGAGAAGTTGTGTGGTATTAAACCTATTTACAATTTTGATGATGAAAACAAGTACGCTACTGAATTTCGCCCAATTTACGATCAGTTTAGGTCAGTTGGAAATATGAAATGAGTAAAATTATATGGGTGGTGCACTTATAAATAAAATTGTAAATTTCTGATAAACATTGAGGGCATAAACCCACTAATTTTACAGATGGTCAATGATATTCGAAAAAGTACCATCCTTTTGTTCTACCAATCGAGTAGTTTGTACTGAATAGTGCATCATCGCACTACCACTTACTGGTGAATTAGTTATTCCAATTTATTCAATTCATTTAGTCGCATCTGTAAGTGTAATTTCATATAGGTTTATGTACTAATTTATTGAGCACAGCTAATATTGGATAGGCTATCAGGTTGTCGATTGTTTAAGCTGAATAAGCTTAAGTTTTACCTTAACATGTATGTATGAACATTGTTAAAAGTGAGATCAATCTTTTGTTTAGTTTACACAAATTCTGGCGCAATTAAGCACCGAAAACTGACCCAGATAAAGAAAACGATATCAAGAAGTTAAAGGGAAAAGAATGGCAGGACCAATGATGAAATGAACAGAAATAGCATTTAAGATATAGCTTAACTAAAAATACAGCCAAGAAAGGTTTTACTCAGTTTAAAAAGTTTAACGCACTATTCTGAAGGCAGTATCAGCAAATTACAGCAGGATTGCCACAGACTTCTATTTTAAGTCATATATGATCATGGCTTAATTCACTGAGCTCCATGATCTTTTCGATCGTCTTTCTAACTATGGTATTTACCTTAACAACTGTCATATTACCGTCTGTTGAATTTCTTCGTAATTAAAATCATGGATAAGCCAAAACTCGAACCTCATGCATAACCAAAAATTCATCATATTTTAGTTGTTTCTTAGCCGTAAATTCACTTAGTAATACCCATTAGTCTACCAGTTGCCTTTTTTGCTATTTATAGAGACCCGGTTAAGCATTCATTTAGAAATAAAGGACATTTTAATTCTAAAATCCCTTAGCAAATTATCTTATGTACTGTATAAGTACGGGTATTATGTTTCACCAAACTTCAACAGAAATCCGAGAAGAACCAGTTGGTTTCGGAAACTATCTGAAGTTGGTTATCAAAGATGCTATCAATGAATGGACAGTGATTACCGATATGATTAGCCACATATCGATGCATATTGAAATTAGTCACAACACTGAGTCACCGAAAACAATGACCTAATACAGAGTCGTTCCAAGTTTTAAGATTAAAGACGCCAGGCTCGACAGAGTAGAGGATAACTGTTACTACACTAACGCTTAAACAACTAATATAATGTCGTGACAGCGCTAAATATGGGTCCCTTTAGCTATATGAGATTTTTGTCTCCGAAAACATCAGTATTCCGGCACATGAGTATCCTGAACATTTCTAGCAGTTCACCAGCGAATATGAGTTTATGGACAAACCCTAAGTGGGCAGTTGATTGAGATATTTAGTAGATTCAGCCAACCACTCCATCAAATCCCCCACACAATTCCTGGACCAAATTAAGGACATTCAAATCAACAACGACGAACTGATGATATCCTTCGATGTAACAACACTATTCACCTCAATTGAACCAAAATTAGCAAAAGAAAGTATATCGCTGCTGCTCGACAACGACACAAATCTCACTAAATACACAAACCTTAAATCCCACTTGTGATATATTTTGCGCTTTGAGGGTCAAGAGTACTCGTCATTAATCAGAAACGCTGACCATCGATCGACTAATTTACATTCCGAGAAGTAAATATGTTTTTTAATCACGTACTCTATTCAAAGCTGTTTGGGAAATGTCATCATTTATAAGGCTACAGAAAAATTAGCAAGATTGGTTAGCCTCATTCAAACGCACTCATATTATAGACTAGAATTTAAAGATAATTGTACGTTATCACTCTAATAGGATAGCTGTGAAAAGATCTAAGATGACCGCCTCGATTATATTCCTCTCTAATGTATAAATGTAAAGTACAGTTCTGTTCAATAAATTGACTGCGATTCTGATATTAGGAATGCGATACGTGTGACGATACATAATCGTTTTGAGAAAGAGTGAGATGTGATGGCCTGAACAAAATCCAACCTGTTGTATTTGGTCTAGATAATTTGTGTAGTCTGATCCGGTCAATATTTTACAAGCACCTTAAAACCAACCTGTGGCGAAATAATTTTCGCGTACATTATCTACACCCTTTCCCGAAATAGGCGAAAGAAGACTTTCAGTATGACATGACATCCTAGATAATTCAATTCATTCTAAACCTAGGATATAGTCCTCATTCTAGAAATGAACCAGAGGTGCGCTGTGCTGTGGATTATTTTTGTGACACTTTAGGACTTGAGATTTATTGTAGAAAATATGATAATTTTGTTGAAATTTCTGAGGTAGTATCTGTCAAATTGTCTTCCGAAAAATTCGACTAAACGTTGCAAAACACTTCGCAGATTGTTAGCAGGCGATTTTATTTAAATTACCGATTATTCGTGAAGTTTCAAACGACAAACATGTAGTTCCAGCGAAAAAAAGGTTGAAATTGAACATTGATTATAGTGGTTCACAGAAGCATATATACACTAAGTCTTCAAATCTCTTAATAATCTGGAGGTAGACCTGAAATTGGTAATCAGCAATAATCAAGATTACTACTCACCAATCCGATGGCGCGCATTTTTTCTGCGTCTTTCAGCTTCTCGAAGTTGTACCTTTTCAAAAGAATCCTTCGTACTTTTGCTACCTTTTTCACAGTCTCCATTAGACTGAGTATCAATGAAGTTTTTAAATTCCATCAAGTCTTGCAATCCAAGTTCTATGCGAGTGAGTGGACGTCTCTGCATCAATAGAGGTTTTTAGATGTGACTGAAAAAAAGTCGGAATTATGGTGTATTTTATTCAGTGCCATTAACCACACACAAAAAACTGAACCAGAAAGTTTTTTAGGAGCAAATAAGCAAGGGAAAAATGACATGAGGAACATGATATTAGGAATTACTGGAAGAACGGAATGGTAAATAAACACACAAAATAGACATCCGAAATTTAGACCGGAAAGTGTACACAAATGTGCCAACATTACAAACCATAAATTTTTGCATTACATTCTCCAACTAAAGAATGAAAACACTTTAAATAAACAATCGATGACTTCACGGAAGGATGGTTTAGATTTTGTTTATTCACCTCGAGTTCTTCAACGAAGTATAAATGATCAAACATTGAAATGATATCTTAAAATCTATTTTAATTCATGCATTCAAATTGTTGATCACTAACTATATGAATGGTGTGAGTGATTCACTAGGTCAGTTTGAGTTTTGTAAACATTGGCGTACGTCGACGCAAGAAACCATGAACCCTCATTCATTGACATAGTTGGGATGTGTCGAAAATACTAATCTACCAGTAACTTTAGTGTATTGTCTTTGAGAGCATTAAAGGTGGAAATTAATAATGTTTAGATCCGGACATAACACCAAACCAAGAATTTTAATGCAACGTGTTTCGATTTATTATAATCCTGGTTATGACCCCAAATGCCCTGGTACAGCCGAGAGTGGGGAGAGTCCACTGGCCCTCTCGAAATGCTCTCACATGACCACGCGTATATAGCCTATGCCACGGAAGTCTTACTCACTGCCTTCTCGTGGCGGGGGTGTTGTTTACGAAATTGAGAGGACCAAAAGCGAATGTTCGGCGCTTTAACCGGGTTGGTGGACATGGGGAGTCCACCTAGGGTCGTTGGAAAACCCTGATTCCAAACTAATCATGCACATGGGCTCCAGCATCCTGAAGGAACGAATAGCGTATGAACCAATCGTTGGTCACCGGCTACCATGGAATTGCATCTCCTGACGTTGCTCCACAGCCTCGTGAATCAGACTTTCAGGTCGAAGGCTCTTGATGTGGCCCCTTGAGAAAACCACCTGCTTCGGTTTGGGCACCCGGGCAGTATCACAGCCCTCACACATATCATATGAGGTCTGTGTGGCACATATGTATTTGGTGCCTCCTTGTACCAATATCTGTGTTAAAATAAATAAATAAAAATCATGGTTATATGTCCAGGTCACTGAGGTTAGTCAGTCGAAACGTAGATCCATGCACATACATGTTAACCCAAGTTGCCATATTATATAGACATGGTGGGTTGAGAATAATGTGATGGCAAACAGGAATCGAAATAATCATAGTAGCAACGATAGTGACATGATAGCAAATTGAATAAAAATAAAACTACTACAGTTCACTTAGTTCCGATTATATTGACTCATAACCCAGATTGTTATTGTTTTTCCGTTACATTATGAACATAAGTGAACGAAATGTTCATTGAACAAAGTAACATGGATAATGGACACAACGATAAATAAAATGGTGTTCAGTAACTTCGATTAATGAAACGAATAAAAACCTTAAGCGCAGAATATCAACTGTTTATAAAATAAAAGCACCACATATGACTTCACCCACACGCACCTAAATGTAATACTGATGTTCATGATAAATATTATTTCGACGAACATGAGAAAAGATGAACATTCAGGGCCAAGAGGTCTCATTCACTTGGGAACATTTTACTTCAGAAACAACGACCTCGAGTCTTCACCCAAAAACTTTACTTACAATATAATTTTAAGAACACAAAGTTCAAGTGTCTGACTACGTACTAGATGTAAATATTGTCTGTTCGTGAGATAATTATTACAAACGAGTAGGAGGTTTTAGTCAGATTAAACAAACACCTATATATATAGTATAATACCATCCCGAGCTCCCAATTTGGGGGAAGCTACTATAGTAAACTTTGGGGAAATGGCACGAAAACCCCAAAATTCCCTCAGACCTGGGGAAATTCCCTAATATTTCCCAAAAATAAAAATATATTTATGCATTGTATTTGCAGAGTTGATTTTGCCAACATTACTTTTACTATTGAAATTATAGTTTTAAATGAGCACTTCTTATATTATGCTTTTATTGACTTTTCTTATAGGTACACTTAATGGATTGTGGAGACAACAGAAACTACACTCATTAGTAACGTACGCTTCGAACGTCTGCTCTATCTAAAATTCAATATATTTGTGATGAGCTAGTGTTAACCTATATGTTATATATATGAAGTCTATCAACCTGTATTAATCCTCGCAGTTTTTAACACTAGGAGTGCAATCTCGTTTTGAAAATATCAACCGATGGTGCTGATGTTACGTGTTTTGGTATAAAATTCCTTCAATTCACTACTCGATGAGAGAAGCGGAACTTTAGATGCTGACTATTTGATATCGGTTTTTGAACTTCTTTGTAACGTATTCTCGAATTATCAGTCCTAGACGGAAGGAAAAGATGGAACATATTGATTCCAAGGCCATCGCTCAGTATGCGATCAACAAATATTGAAACACTCCCTAATCTACGGTAAGATAAGTTGAGATTTCTCAGCCCGTCTGCCAGAGAGACCTTTTAGCTCGTCATTGGACTATTCCCAGAATATCCGTTCCATACTTGAGGTAAGGACTCGCTTCTTGAATCCTATATTTCGATTGCCGTCTCACAAAAGTCGATTATAAGACTCTATATATTTTTTCGTTTAAGTACAGAAAAGACCTACTAATAGCCCATAATACTCTAAAGCTTTTGGCAGAAGCCTTGCAGTTGCTCGTAGTTTTGAGGCCTCTGTTTATTAGGACTCCTAAGTCTTTATAGTCTATTACTTGGAGTAACACAACTCCACGTATCGGGTAGTGATGTGATGGGTATCATTACCAAGGTTTGATTTGATAATTTCGAATAAATTGAGCATTGGGCAGATTGTTATAAGTAAGTGTTATGTTTGTGATATCCTAGTGAGTAGGAAAATTGGATTTTCCAGCGTTTTTTGACTTACACTAAGTCACGAAACGACCAATATGTCTTTGCAGCGCACTCCTGAATGGCTGATGTGTTAGCTGTCCATACATTTGAGTGAGGTTTAACCTGACCCTATATCACATCACTGGCTCCAAAGATGGATGACGAAACAGTGTGATCGCCATTCGCTAATAGTGGAATAATGTTTAGGTTGGTAATATCGTCAGTCTCATGAGTGATTACCAAGCCTAACGAAGAAGAACCTTGCTTTGAACCAAAGATGTTTTCGCTACATGCTGTACTAATCCATGCTCCATTACCGTTATCAGGAACCCCGATATCAAAGAAGTTTATAGATCCTACCGAGGCCATTTCAATTCATTAATGGCGGGTTCATTGAAGTTTCTTTATATCAAGCATCTGTTATATTCACTCCATAGCTGAATGTGTTCCATAATAGTCATCAACTAAGTAGATTGGACTACGATAAATGACCCCGAGTATGAATGAACAACACCCGATAGTCGGGCACAAAAAGCTCACAGTTAATAACTTCATATGTTCCGCTATCATGTGATACACAAACAGGGTAGCGGATATTTATATTATTGATTTTGTATAGAAGAACGCCACCTCCCGTTCAAAATCTGTGTCTATCAATTCTTAGATAATGGTACTCGGATAATTCTGGAATAATGTCGAAGTCGTGGACCAACCAAGTTTCAGCCACAGTTACAATGAGTGGCCTCAATTTGTCCACTAACGCTCCTAGTTCATAGAATTCATTTCTTAGACTACGAGCATTCGCATATAAAACTCCCGGGGAGAACGGCTTATACACACAGAAATCGGTGGCATTTACTCCCAGGACCTGACTATTCGAATAACAACTAAGCGGGGATTTTCCTCACGATTGTGTCAACGGGTTTCTAGCTGTTTTCCTTTTTATTCTACTTTCAAAGGATATATCAGGTCTTACTCGGATGTCAGTACTGTCGTGACTATGATCACTACTTGACAAAAGATCACGTTGTAATTTGTGACTCAGAACGGGAGTTCACCAATGACTTGTAAACCATGTGGGTGCCGCTTATAACTTTATTCTTTTCACATTTTATGGAACCACTTTTCACACTCATTGCATTCCTTCCTCCACGGGGAATAAATCATTCGGCTGTCCACACTTATAAATACTGCCGAACATTGTAATCAGATAAGGAAAGCGTAAAACACAATGTGGTCATTATATGAACAGAAGTGTCAGAACGAACAATAAAGCTCCACAAGACCAAGTTAAGCAAAATTTGAAACCTTAACCGAAATACTTTAATTTCGAGTGAACCGAGAATGTTTTTTGACACATCAAGGATACGGAAGCAAAGTTAGTCGCAACAAGTACTTAACCACTGCCTTTTTTGAAACACTCGTGGCAGTTTCTTTGAGCCTGTTTTTGGATGTTTTCGTATGGTTTCACATTTTCATTATTATTTAATATGGGTAATACATCCACTTGAATTCATCAGTCCTAGTGAGTTCGAGTTATCTTGAGATCGATATGTATTCTGTATGGGTGGATGCGCTTTTAGCAGAGTAGTGTGGTTGTCGAAAGCTGACCGGATAATGAACACGTTTTTTCATGTACATGAATAATGTTATTTTTAATCATCGATGCTTTACTACGTTAGAAATATAGTATTTTTACAATGACCATAAAGGTGTTTCAGCTATTCAGGACTTAGCAACACTTTTATAATCGATTATCCGATGCCCGGTCATGTCAGAAATCAGGAACGAAGGAATTAGAAAATATATTTGGAAGGTCGTCGACATGCCAAGATATGATTTGATCTGGCTAGTTGTAGAGAGATATTTGTGGGACGGCATAACCCATGGCAACTTGGCACGGATGCTCGCCTGTAACTAGAATGCGGCCAGTAAATCTGATGAAATCGACTTCAATGTCGAAGGCACCTTAAGAATCAGGAAGTTTTGACTTCGGACACAAGCACACGATCGTAGTTGACACCCGGTAGATATTTCGTGCCTCTAGGTAACCCTCTTGCTATTGATAGAAGAAACCAGACAAGTGGCGAACAGGTCTTTATTTAGATCTTTGCGCAGTCACAGTGGAGTGTGGGATTGTTTGTTCAGACAAACAGAGACTCCCAACATTCAATATAAGATAATAGGAAATATAATGCCTATACAAAATAAGGAAGTGAATGAATGCTTGGACTATACTGTTTTGACATATGCTAAGTTGTTTGTGGTGAACTGTTAACCAACCTACCTAAGTTGTTACAGATGTATTCTTAGCTATAAAAATTTCATCAACCTGTCGGTAGCAGTGATTATAATATCTGAAAATGAACTTATGTGTCACCAGACAAATATTCTCGCTACACTATATTTGACTAAACATCATGTGATTGTTTAACCCATAAGATTACACATAGATCTCATATGAACGAGCACCCTGAATGTGGATATTAGGAGTTTCTTCCATTTAAGGACAGCTGAGGGGCAGTTATATCTTGCTGACAGAATAATATATATAGTATAGAAAAGGATGTGGTACATATGAAAATTAAGCCTAATATCTACGTCATGCCGCCCCGATAATTTTCCTGCATCGACCGCGGCTGATTTTCACCGTTTTGCGTCAAACATTCGACATGCAGTGGTGAGTCTTTTATAGCAGGCGACAGTTAGCGTGAAGGAATGTATTAATAGAGTTAGTCATTATCTCACTGTTACTTTAGTATTTAAGCGCATCAAACCGAGCAGACAAACTCAGAAATAATTTGCTATTTATCTGAACAGGCGCTCTCAAGAAGAGTCAAATTTTATCAGAAAGGCTAGGAAATATAACCACCCGTTGAATACAGTCTTGGTTAAGCCAAAGTCAGAACAAGCAAGCTATTTGGCTAGATAAACTTTGTGTGGTTCTAAAACATAAATTAACATCGTTAGTGTACAAACAAACAGTACGGTCTACTAATACAGGCAAGAACAGAGACAAACAACATATTGAACTGTAGCCAGAGAATAGGAAAAATGAGTCAACAAGCAAATATTGTCTTACAATGAACATCGAACTGTGATTGGTTAATAAAGAGATACAGTCGTACAAGGTCAAAGGTAGTTAATGTGGTGGTGGGTGTTTCCCTTTATTATTGGTGGGTTGGTCTATCGATCACATTTTACTCATATTTTTTATCAATTTGATTTTTTTGCATAACCTTTTTTCTCTAATTTGTTGCCACGTTTTTTGACTTCACTAAGTTGCTACATGATTATAAGGTCACACTCTGCTACCACAGCAAAAAATTTTCAACCAATTTCGTTTAAATTACTTGTCATTCTACAAATGTCAAGTTACCTGTGATCCCGTCATTTTCCTGTCTTAGCCGTCGAGGTTTAATGTGCTGAGCATAATTGACTGCTGTTAGTTCCGAAGAGAATCGATCGTATTTATGAAGCTCAGTCGTTTTCGTTCCTAAATCCGCAACATCGTGGGTCGTACTTAACCCGAATAACAAGACCTAACAACTTGCACTCGATGGATTCATAATTCATATGCTTAACGCTAGTAATGGATACCTTTTTCTGGAATTATTCTCCCACATACCTAACTGCCTCCTCCGCTTCTGAAGGCTGTAAAAGTCCCAGTTTCAAATTTTATATAAAGTATTTTAAATAAAAAACTTTCGATAGAACGCCTTTTGTCCTAAAATGCAATTGATATGAGGGTCAAAACATTTCGCTAGCCAGTTGATGCAAGCCCATCCACTGGTAGTAGTGGGTCGAAAACCAAACGCAACACAGGAAGGTGATACATGGGGTCACGCAACATTAAGTTTTTCTCTAAAATATGCTGGATGTCTTAACTTACGCATAATGGAAAGCCAAGCTAGATGGCTTAGTGCATTTCCACGGATTTCATGTGATGCTTTGATCATAGCTAACATCATTAGAAATGACACTTTTCATATCTTTTGGGAGGTTTACTGTTTGGCTGGGTTGTCACTAATTTGCCGTTTGGAAAATCATAGTACCTAGTAAGCTAGAAACTGTCTATAAGTGAGTCATGGTGATAAGTTGGCAATCATTTAGGTGTCTCGCTCTACTCCTGTATTTGAGTTGTTGCGATTGCAACATATGTTTCCTCAATCGCCTACCAATACTGAATGCGCGGTTTAGTTGTCTGAAGCACTCACAGTGCCACAGTTCAGGCTGAATGTAAACTAACCGAGCTACAGGAGTCCAGCAAGAGTGTCTTCAATGCGAAGGGCATTGTGTCCGCC